AAAAAAAGGTTTCGCATTCTGCAAACCTCCCCAAAATGGCCCGTTTTTTGTGAAAATGGGCCCGTTTTTCCCCCCCAAAAAAACAAAACAAAAACAAACAGATAGACTTTAGGAGGCTTGTAGAGTGCTCCTGCGGGTGGAGGACCCAAAAACGAGCAAAAAACGGTCCATTTTTCACAAAAATGGGCCCATTTTTTGTCAAAAAAAAGGGCATGCAAACCCTTTAGGAGGCTTGTAGAGTGCTCCTGGGGGTGGAGGACCCAAAAACAAGCAAAGAACGGTCCATTTTCCACAAAAATGGGCCCGTTTTTTGTCAAAAAAAGGGGCATGCATAACCTTTAGGGGGCTTATAGAGTGCTCCTGGGGGTGGAGGACCCAAAAACGAGCAAAAAACGGTCCATTTTTCACAAAAACGGGCCTGTTTTTTGTCAAAAAAAGGGCATGCAAACCCTTTAGGAGGCTTATAGAGTGCTCCGGGGGTTGGAGAGGGCATAATTGAGCAAAAACCGGGGCATTTTTTGCTCATTTCTGCCCTTCCCCAGCCCCCAGGAGCACCCTGGAAGCCTCCTAAAGGGTTTGCACGGCCATTTTGGTGAGGGGGGGCGGGGTTTTGGGAGGCAAAAAATGCTGCATTCAGTGTATAAGATGCACCCAGATTTGGTTCCTATTTTTCTACTTGCATTTTTTATGTACTTTCGAACTGCTAGGTTGGCAGAAGCTGGGACAAGTCACGGGAACATGTTTTGACCTACAGGGGGGAGACCTCTGCCCTAAAATTTCAACCATCACCTGGCTCATGTTGATCTCCTACGAACCATACATTCCTGCTCAGCATTCTCTTTCATTGTTTCCCTTAATTTTCTGCCATAATATCCAATTTTTGTCCACCCGAAACTTGTTCTCGCAAAATCCATTTTCCCCACCAGGTTGCTTGGATTCCATTGGATTCTCCGTCTTCAAAGAAGTTTCTGTTTCTCTTCTTACTTTGCAGAAAGAGAAATAGAGAGTGAAAACTCCCCAAAACTCAAGATACAACAATTCATCGCTAGCTACCCTGGTTATTTTCCCTCCGATTCAAATACCAGCAAATGGGTCAGTTCCTGGAGGAATTGAGGAACGTTTGAAACACAGGTAGCCCTCCTACACATCTGCACCACTATCTGTTCTCCAACATGCCTTTTCCTTTGTTATTTTTTTTTTCAGAAGGAAAAAAAAACCCTGCTTTACATTACAAACAAAGAAAAATACAAGGGTTCAACCATCATTTTCCTATCCCAGGGGTCGGCAACCTTAAACACTCAAAGGGCCACAAAGATCCTAACCAGAAGCCCTCCATTCAATTTTGGAGGCAATCGGATGTCCGGTTCCCCCACCATAGAGTCTCCTCCTAGTGCAGCATCCTTTTTCCTCTACTGACCTTAAGAATGTTGAACGTTGAATGTTGATTTTATTTATATGCCGCCCTTTTCCCCCGAAGGGGACTCAGGGCGGCTCACAACTCAAACCAGGGAAGGGGGATACAGACAAAAAATTAAAAAACGACACAAAACAATGCATAATTTAAAACACACAACAGTCATACCAATTCGAGACGGGGGCAACGGTTCTTTAGCCCCAGGCCTGTCGGAACAGCCAGGTTTTAAGGGCTTTGCGGAAGGCCTGGAGGGTGGTGAGGGTACGAATCTCCACGGGGAGTTCGTTCCAGAGGGTCGGAGCAGCCACAGAGAAGGCTCTCCTCCAGGTAGTCGCCAGTCGACACTGGCCGGCAGTCCCGTTCTCCCACCATAGAGTCTCCTCCTAGTGTGGCATCCTTTTTCCTCTGCTGACCTTAAGTTCCGTTCTCCCACCATAGAGTCTCCTCCTAGTGTGGCATCCTTTTTCCCCTGCTGACCTTAAGTTCCGTTCTCCCACCATAGAGTCTCCTCCTAGTGTGGCATCCTTTTTCCTCTGCTGACCTTAAGTCCCGTTCTCCCACCATAGAATCTCCTCCTAGTGCAGCATCCTTTTTCCTCTACCTGTCCTAACTGAAAATCCTATCAATCGTGGAGCTGACCGGCAACAGGGAGCTGCAGAAGAGGGATGAAAGAGCCACACAGGTTGCTGACCCCTGTCCTATCCTTTGTGCCTCTTCCTCTTTGCTCATACTTTCTTTAACCGCCACTGGTTGCCAAGAGCAAAGAGAGGCAAGCTCCTTGGCTTTCTTCACCCTCCCAATCCCCAAATCTCCACTCAAAACATTTGCTTTGTGCATTACAGAAAACCGTTGGCCAAAACTTTTGGCTGCCATTCCAGGTCAAGAAAGAATCGTGGTCTTTGAGGAGAATCATTTGCAATTTACTGAGGTGAGAGGCAAGGGTAAAATTCAGCAGGTTCTGAAGAACCGGTAGCGGAAATTTTGAGTAGTCCGGAGAACCGGCAGATACTAACTCTGGCTGGCCGTACCCCCATCTATTCTCTGCCCACTGAGCCCCAGCTCATTGGGAGGAAATGGGGATTTTGCAGTATCCTTCCCCTGTCACACCCACCGAGCCATGCCCATCAAGTCACACCCACAGAACCAATAGTAAAAAAAATTGAATTTCACCACTGGTGAGAGGGTTTTTTTCCTCCCTAGCGGAGACATGCATCCCACTACAAATACAGCAACACAGTCGCTTTCTGGAGACATTCGAGACCAAGGGATGCCAGCTGGGTGCGAGAGAGGCCAGGGAAAACAACAAGGGTGGCAGAGAGAATAGAGAATGATGGACAAGATGCCCCATTTTGTGTGCAAACATGAATTCTTTATAGGCGACGAATTAAGGGGAAAATGCATATTTATATTTTCTGCTTAAAATCTGCTGAATGCACAGGAGCAGCGAGAGAGGCCATGAAAGTTCAGGGTAGAAAATACTCCCCTCCAAGGAAAAACACAACACACACAAACACACACACACCAGGGAACCAACCAGCTCCTTCTGTGGTTCGCACTAAGGAAGGAAGAGGCTAAATGGAAGGAAAAATGGCACCTTGTTCCAGGTAAAGCCAGAATATTTGTAGCTCGGGGTTAAATCGAGGGGTTCCTTGGTGCTCTCTGAGCTGCGAGTTTTTCTTGCATTTCCTGACCCAATTTGGGTACAGATGAGTCCTCGACTTATAACAGTCCATTTAGGGATCATTCGAAGTTGCAACGGCGCTTAAAAAAAAAGTGACTTACGGCCGTTTTTCACCCTGACGACCGTTGCAGCATCCCCTCCGCCACCCGAGCAAAATTCAGACGAGTGACTCGTGTTTATGACGGTTGCAGCGTCCCGGGGTGTTTCCCGTGATTCACCTTTTGCGACCATCTCCCAAGCAAAGTCAACAGGGAAGCCGGATTCACTTAACGAAGACTGTGCTTCTAACTTAACAACCGCAGCGAGTCACTTAACCACCGTGGCAAGAAAGGTCGTAAAATGGGGCAGGATTTGCTTAAAAAGTGTCTCACTTGGCAACAGACGTTTTGTGCTGAATTGTGGTCGTAAGTCAAGGACTACTTGGAGTATTGTCAGCTCTCCTGATGTTACCTAGTTTGGCTAATTAAACATCTGCAAGAAAACAACCAAGCTCAGAGAGCACCAAGGACTTCCTAGCCCTCCTCTTTTCTCCTTTCTCCTTCTTCCACTCCACAAATCCCATTCCCTTCTAGCACTGATGATGTTACCTACTTGGGTAATGAAATGTCTGCAAGAAAACAACCGAGTTCAGAGAGTACCGTGGACCCCATAGTCCTCCCGCTCCTCTTCCTACACCACCACCACCTCCTTCCTCCTTTCTCCACTCCACAAACCCCACACCCTTCTATCACTGATGATGTTACCTAGTTGGGTAATGAGACATCTGCAAGAAAGCAATCAAGCTCAGAGAGAACCACAGTCCTCCTTCTCCTCCCCACCAAACCCCACACCCTTCTAGCACTGATGTTGTTACCTAGTTGGGTAATGAAACGTCTGCAAGAAAACCACCAAGCTGAGAAAGCACCATTGACGCTCAGATTATGAACTTCTGAACATCCGAAGAGGACTAAACACAGCTGTTTTGTCACACAAATCTGTGTCATATCTTAAGTCTGCTAGCACAGCAGAGATCTGAAGGTTGAGGTATCTTACTTGAGACGGGTCCAGGAAATTAAAAATCCAGCTGTTCATCTCTCTGGATTTGACAGTTAGGAATGTTGGAGAATGTCTTCGCTCTCCAGATTCAGGCTCCCTCCCTCCCTCTCCGTGAAGTGGATATTATCAAAGAAAAANATCATTTTGACCGGAATGTACCATGGAGTCCTGATTCTTAACGCCTGACAAATGCTTTCTGTACTACAGGTAACACTTTTTCTCAACGAAGACTTATTCAGGGACCATTCACACTAAGATGGTGCTAAACAAGTGGTACTTATGACCAGTCCTCATGTTACAAATGAGCCGTGGTGACGCAGTGGTTAGAATGCAGTACTGCAGGCTACTTCTGCTGACTGCCGGCTGCCTGGAATTTGGCAGTTCGAATCTCACCAGGTTCAAGGTTGACTCAGCCTTCCATCCTTTCGTGGTGGGTAAAATGAGGACCCGGATTGTAGGGGGCAATACACAGACTCTGTAAACCACTTAGAGAGGGCTGTAAAGCACTGTGAAGGGGTATATAAGTCTGAATGTTGTTGCCCTCTTGTCCTTCCTTCCTTCCTTCCTTCCCTTTCTCATTCTCCTTCTCCTTCCAGGTGGCCAAGTGGTTGGAATGCAGTATTGCAGGCTGATTCTGCTCACAGCCAGGAGTTCGATTCCCACCAGCTCAAGGTTGACTCAGACTTCCACTTTTCTGAGGTCAGTTAAAGGGGACCCAGATTGTTGGGGACAATATGCTGATTCTGTAAACCACTTAGAGAGGGCTGTGAAGCGGTTATATAAGTCTAAATGTTATTGCTATTGCTACAATGGCCTCAGTGTCCTGAATCGTGATCACTATTTTCCTGGTTGGCTTCTTACAAGCAAAATCAATGAAAAAACTGGCAAGAGATGACAAGGTAACATTGTGCTTAACAATCAGCCACCAGAAATGCTGCAATTTCCTTCACGCAGTTATGTGAGGTTGCACTGTATCATGCATCAATTAATGAGGGAAATTCTAATCCCAATTACCATTGCTAAGTGAGGAGAAGCTATAATTCCAAGAATTGTACATTGCTACATTGAGCTTTGGGAACACGCAACAACAGCATTCAAAAAGAAAGAAAGCGCCGGGATGGTGCATTGGTGAGAGTGCAGTACTGCAGGCTACTTCTGCTGACTGCCGGCTGCCTGCAATTTGGCAGTTCGAATCCCACCAGGCTCAAGGTTGACTCACCCTTTCATCCTTCCGAGGTCGGTAAAATGAGGACCCGGATTGTTGGGGGGCAATAGGCTGACTCTGTAAACCGCTTAGAGGGGGCTGTAAAACACTGTAAAGCAGTATATAAGTCTAAATCTAAGTGTTATTGCTATTATTCAGGATAATAACATCTTTCAGAATGTATATTTGGAGAGCATAATTTCATCCTTCTGCAATACTACAAAATGAAGCAGCATCTTATTTACTGTTTGGCAAATACCGAGCGATGCAGAGATGCAGGAGGATTGGGGTTGACATTGGTTTTAATTTATGCCTTTTTTCCCCCTACTGTTTTGAATTTTGCCTTCTACCAAAAGCTAGCTATTTCGAGCACACAATGCGACAGAAGAATGGGGGGATGCAAGTGTAATGAATTCATTAAGTGAAATATAGGCCCGGTTTTCACACTACACTAAATCTGCCAATTGTTAGGCTCTGGCTCAGCTCGGACTTGTAAACCAAATCGCCGCGCTAGCTGACGGCAAAGCGACGTATGATCTCATTACAAATTATGACTCATTCAGACAATCGTGGCCAAAAACAAAATCCGGTTTAAAATAAAGCACATTCGTCTTTAAAGGCCTGATTTGCTAAGCCTGCCAGAGAGCCTGGAATGGGGATTTTATGCCCTCCGAGACAAATTTCTCTGACGCGGTTGAAGACTGGCGTCCACAAGCATCCTCGGGGGAGCGAGAGGTCAAGTAAGGTCAAATGCGGCACTGTGGCTTCTCTACAGGACACTCATATTTGTATCAGCATGACTACAAGTTGCAATCTGCTTAACCCGAATTGATTTTTTTAAAAATATATATATTTTTAAAATTGTTTTTGCATTTAAAATAGTGCAGCACATCGAAGCTGTTACGGCCATACAATCACAGTATATACCGTATTTTCCGGAGTATAAGATGCTCCAAAGTATAAGACGCACCTAGAGTTTGGGGAGGAAAACAAGAGAAAAATATCTGCCACTGCCTCCCAGCAAATTGCCTCCTTGCAACAAACAGCACAGACAATATACACTGTTTGTAGTGTTACATTTCAGACAGTGGTGGGTTTCAAAAATTGTTCAAACCTACTCTGTGGGTGTGGCCTCCTTTGTGGGAGTGGCTTGCTGCCCATGTGACCGGATGGGAGTGGCTTGCTGCCCATGTGACCGGATATGAAGATGCCGACGACACTTGTCAGAACCACCTTAAATTACCTCACACACAGCACTGGCATGCATAAGAACATGATGTAAACTTGTTTTTTAAAAGGCATCTTTGGTTTGCGTTAAAACAACTTCAACACACGCAATGTTCTGATTGCACCACAAACGCAGTAGTCATCCTTACCTTTCACAGAGGCACTGAGCTTTATAAATATGAGTATGATAGTGTAGAATAATCATATCCAAGGACCAGTGGTGGGTTTCAAACAATTTTGGAACCTCTTCTGTAGGTTTCCTGCTTTCCGGGTCCACTGGTGGAACCTCTTCTAACCAGTTCGGTAGATTTGACGAACCGGTTCTACCGAATAGGTGCGAACTGGTAGGAACCCACCTCTGGCACCCACCCCAAAAACTCTGCTCCCCCAGAGCCTTACCTTCTGTTTTGCCGAATGCTGAATAAGTTCGGTGATCAGCACCTTATCCTGCTGCAGCCTGCGCTTCATGAGTTTGGAGCAGTGGATGTTGATGGCCTCCAAGATATGGGACATGTTGTACTCCACAAAGGGGCGGCTGTCAATCAGGAGCAACTTCTCCATGCTGCTTTCCAGCCAAGTCACCAGCCTCTCCCCGGTTATGAGCTGAGCATCATTCATTTCATCCGCCATGACAACCGCAGACCCCCGAACTGGAGCAATGCTTTTGCTTCTCAAATCTGCGGCCCCCACGAAGAAGATGAGGTAATGGCTATGAACTTAAAGGCCCAGACTCTCCATTGTCCTCCAGATGAATGAGGTCATCTCGGTGGAGACGGGCAAGAGGAAAGGGAGACCCATTTTTCTCTTCGGAGGGTCCTCTGGAGAGAAATGCCTCGTACAAAGACGCCCCTCACAACCCATTCATCTTGGGCTATGGCGTTGCCATTTCAGACTCCTCATAAAAGATCCTTCTCAGATGTTCCTGCCATTACCTCATTCCCTATCTTTGTTCTCTCATCGTTGGTCTTCTTCTTCTTCGAGCGGCCTAGGAGCCTGTACAGAAACGAGGCAGGCAGAAAGGAAATAAAAACAAACAAGAAGGGTGATGAGAATCTCTAAATCCCTGCCCTGCCTCCCCTTTGTTCCCCTCACCACCACTCTGGTTGTAAGAGGGGGGGGTCTCGTTCTCTGGCACCGCCCAAAAGTGTGTGTGTGGTGGTATCGCTGCCAAACCTGATTAACACTCGCCATGTGTACCTCAGGGCGAAGGTAAAGGTTTCCCTTGCACATATGTGCTAGTCGTTCCTGACTCTAGGGGGCGGTGCTCATCTCCGTTTCTAAGCCGAAGAGCCAGTACTGTCCGAAGACGTCTTCGTGGTCATGTGGCCAGCATAACTCAACGTCAAAGGTGCATGGAAGGCTGTTACCTTCCCACCAAAGGTGGTCCCTGTTTTTCTACCTGCTTTTGAACTGCTAGGTTGGCAGAAGCTGGGACAAGTAACGGGAGCTCACCCAGTTATGCGGCGCTAGAGATTCGAACCGCTGAACTGCTGACTTTTCTGATAGACAAGNATCTGCTTCCGCACAGGCCAAGATTTTTCTGATTATGTCTAACTCTGACGGGATACTTCCTTTTTCCCCAAAATTGCGCATAGATGATTTGCGCTGCAGTCAATACATGGATAACTAGATAGAGCGCGTCTTTCTTATACCCCTCTGGTATTATGCCTAGGAGAAAAATTAGAATATATATTTTTTAAATGACAAAAGAAAGGTGGCAAAATCTTGTGGCTATATCAGTTCATAAAACATCAAACTCTTCCTCCCAACAGTGTTTATTTTACCTTTTGGTTGTAAGGACATTTTTCAGGACAGAGAGCAAATTGTAGTTAGTAATGATCATGATAGCAATAGCACTTAAGACTTTTATAGGTGCTTCACAGAGCTTTACAGCCCTCTCTAAGCAGCTTACAGAATCAGTGTATTGCCCCCTAACAATCCGGCTCCTCATTTTACCCACCACGAAAGGATGGAAGGCTGAGTCAACCCTGAGCCCGGTGAGATTCGAACTGCCAAATTGCAGGCATGATAAGGCTGGTATCAAAAGAAAAAAAGCCTCTCTTGATTCTGCTTAAGGTGGGAAATATAATTTGTGCCAGATCTCACTATTAATACTTGCATAGCATCATCTGACAGCATTACAAAAAAAAGAGAGACTTTAGGTGGCTAAAAGGTTGGATTTTACCAGGATAATTGTTGCATTCAGCAGAGAGATATTTGGAGATAAGTTTGGCAAATCCTTTTGACAGTTAAGGATCAACGTTTTCTTTCAGTGTTCAGAGACTTTGGACAATGGGGAGAGAAGAGCAACTAGGATGATTAAAGGCCTGGAGATGAAAACATATGAGGAACGGTGGCAGGAACTGGGTATGGCTAGTCTAGAGAAAAGGAGGACTGGGGGTGACATGATAGCAGTGTTTCAGTATTTGACGGGCTGCCCCAAAGAAGAGGGAGGGGTCAACCTATTTTCCAAAGCACCAGAAGACAAGACAATAAACAATGGATGGAAACTAATCAAGGAGAGAAGCGACCTGGGGTTAAGGCGAAACTTCCTAACCGTGAAGGCAATTAGACAGTGGGACAGCTTTCCTTCAATCATTGTGGGTGCTTCATCAATTTTTAAGAAAAGACTGGACAGCCCCCTATCGGAAATTGTATAGGGTCTTGGTTGGGCTAGAAGACCTCCAAGGTCCCTTCCAGTTCTGTTCGGATTGGTTGATCTCTTGCCGTTCCCAATTCCGTCCTTCATCTATCGATGTAATTCCCACCCACCAGTGGTGGGTTTCAAAAATTGTTCAAACCTACTCTGTGGGTGTGGCCTCCTTTGTGGGAGTGNAGATTTGACGAACCGGTTCTACCGAATAGGTGTGAACTGGTAGGAACCCAACTCTGCCGTTTTCACAAAAAACGGGTCATTTTTTGGAGATCTGCAGAGTGCAAAAACTTTTTTTTTAAAAAAAATTGCCTCTTCAAAATGTTGGTGCAGCTTATACTCCAGTGTGTCTTATTCTCCGAAAAATACGGTAATGCTTGTATCCCTATTAAGAGGCCCTAACTGAGCAGCCCTTGCTTAGGCCTGTGGGAAAGTCCATCCAATGGTCTTGGTTTTCTCCTTGTGTGAATGGTTCCCCGCATTCCGTATGTTCTTTCTTTAACCCTGACAATTACAGGGCCAGTGGTTGTTTTGGCCACTCTGACTTAAAAGGGGCTTCTTCAGTATGCATGTCTTCAACTATGGGAGAAATCTAGGGGTGGGCTTCAAAAATATCAGCAATGGGTTCTCTTCTTGGTTGCTGGGTGGGTGTGGCTATGATGGGCATGGCCTAGTTGGCCTCCTGCACCATCGCGCGGGGGTGGCATTTTCACCTTTCCCAGGCTCCGGAGACTTTCCTCAAGCCTCTGGGAGGGTGAAAACATCCTCCCCGGGCTCCAGAGGCCTTCTGGGAGGCCTGTTTTCCTCCCCTCCTCGAGCCTCTGCACAGGCCCTGCCCTTACCTCACATCCAAAATGGACCACCTGCAGACTCCTGCACGGAGGGGTGGGGTGTGGCCAGCCAGTGGTGAGATTTGGAGGTTCTCCAAATTGGCTATAATGTTAGCTACGGGTTCTCCCGAACCAGGCAAACCCCTTAGCAGCCCATCCCTGGAGAAGGCCATACCTGAGTATTATGCAACCTGGAGTTATTGCAGTAAGAGGGAGATGAGGTCCCTCCCTACCGAAAGCTAGCTCTTCCTTCTCTCCAGCTCGGCTTTTAACAACAGCCGCTTGTCTTCAATTGCTTTTCCTTGTCCCTGCAGCCTTTGCTCACATTTATCATGGCTGATTGTCATTTTGCTGGAATCATTTTATTCTAGCAAACTCCACACAGGCATAATGGTTTTCTGAAATTACTCAGAAAGGAAATTGCTTTCGGTTCTACGTTCTTCAAGGGCACCCTGAGCGATTTCTTTCGCTTCTCAGCCTCCCTTCTTGGATAAGGTAACTCTATTTCTATTTTCCTGCTATGAACTCAATAGCAATTCCTTTAATTCCTCTTTTTTTATTTCCCCTGACTTCCTCCTTGAAACCTACATCTTCTTTCTATTAATAACTGTGTCAAATCACAAGCTATGTACTGCAGTGGCCAGCCTGCCACTACAATCTCCCCACCCCCCATCCCGGATCTAAAGTCCTTCACATGATTCACAAACAGTTCACAGGCTGTTTGGAGGGATCTTCTTTAAAACCTGCTGTGTTTCAAAATTCTTCCCCATCCTCCCTCCTATCTGAGCAAGCCAGCTCTCCTCCGGACTGCAGTAACTGGCTGCAAAACTCGGGATAGCCACTAGATGGCAGAGTAATACATGTGAAATGTAATGAACACCCACTGTCTTTTTTTAAAGATTTTTTTATTTTATTTTAAACACATAAACAAAACAAAAATATAGATTAAAACAACAAAAGAACAAAAAGTTCCATTATACAGCAGTTCTGTATCGGTAAATCTTTACAGTTGGTATTGTTTCTACTATGCATTCATATCTTACTTTCATGATCCCCTTATTCTTTAATTATTTAATTTATTCTTTAAGTATATATAAAGATAGAATAGTACACCTAATTATTTAAGTGTACTATTCTATCTTGATATATACTTAACTCTTTATATCAGAATATCATTTTTCCTATATTGTACTTTATGTGCTTACTATCATTTGGGCTACTATATCTTAACTTATTTTAACTATATCTTATATTATCACTATGTCCTAAGACTTCTACTACATCACTATTTTGTGTTTCCCTGTTTCTCGTTTCTGTCATCTAACCATTCATATCGTTTATTCCAAGTTAAATAATATTCTGATTCCTCCTTTCCTTGTAAAATCCACAGTCTTAAGGCCACTACAGAATAAATGCATTACGGGGGATTAAAATAATTTCTTTGTCTTTGAGACTATTTTTTTTTTAAAAAATTATTTGAATCAAAGACTTATATTTTTCTGTTATTTTAATTCACTTTCTGAGTGGCAAGTTCTTTTAACTCTCCTATGTAAAGAGATGTTCAATATAAGCAGTACAAATAAGAGGAAAACAGTAAGAATAAGGAAAAGTGAAAAATGTGTGGAAAAAAAGTAAAAAGTCAGGGGAGAAGAAAGATCAGGCAAAGAAAAAGAAATTTCCTCATAGCAAATGATTGAACTGGAGCTGCTTCAATCTATAGCAAAATGCCCAAGGCTCTGAGTTTAAAACTGCTGTACTCTAGTCTCAAAAATAGTCCATCTCATTTTTCTTCCTTCTATCAAGTAACAAAAGGAGAGCATTATAGTATCGGGGACCCAAATCCAGGGGTGGGATGCTACGGGTTCGCCCGGGTTCAGGAGAACCCGTAATTAATGTTATGGCTGATTTGCAGAATCTCCAAATCCCACCCCTGGCTGACCCCCTCCCACCCTCCCCTCCCCTCCCAGGAGTCTCCACGTGGCCCATTTTGTATGCGAGGTCAATAGCAATAGCAATAGCAATCGCAGTTAGACTTATATACCGCCTCATAGGGCTTTCAGCCCTCTCTAAGCGGTTTACAGAGTCAGCATATCGCCTCCACAGTCTGGGTCCTCATTTCACCCACCTCGGAAGGAT